TTGTCCGGGAATCTGCAAGAAAATGGGGAACGGGGTCAAATAGCAACAAAGTATTCATACCCAAGACATATGATGGAATACATGCGCGCACGCTAAATCAGTTAGCTCAACACGGAAAAAAAGGTTCAGAAAATTTTTATTTGGTATCAGCCACGCGGATCCGCCCTGGAATATATTAACACGTGGTGAACCTGAGAGCTGGGCAGCATACCTTCACATGCATGGTTCATTCATTTACCTGCATATACCTTACAGATAGCGTAAAAGCAACGAGACTCCCATTGTTCGCGAGGTTCCTGAGAAGACACGTAGTGCTACAGCAATTTTTTATGTGTGAGCCGCTTCATCTGAATCATTATTATGTCGTAAAGAAATTTCCTGGCACGTGTAGATGAACAAGTGTTAGACACATAAAATTTAAAGAAAAGTAACGCCACAATCGATGTTCGCTCAACTATTTACCTAGTACATTCCTGAGGTATCAAGTTGTTCCCGCAATCGATTACGTTTCTGAAAGAAGCAATTGTAAGTGTAGTAATAATCGGCAAATAGATAGGCGAAAGCGTTACATTCTTCATCAAACGCAGAAACGGTCGGCATTTCGCGGCGTCGGCACGAGTGAGAAAAAAAAAATATGTGGCGACGTCAACATATGACGTTACCATGACGTCACAGAGTGCCAGAACTTGTACGTGATAATGCCGTCAAATAATATCACTGCTTTGGCAAAGTGGTGAAATCTCGAAGGCAGAGCATAACCAAGTTCGACTCAATGTCTTCGATCCTGGAAGCAGTGCAAGAATACAGTAAGTGCTCAAAGCGCTCGGAGGTGGGGGAGGGGAGATAAACGCTTCAACTGAGATAAGAAAAATCACACCATGTATCGCTAAAGGGCACCACGTGTATAGATGCGAAGCAGCGGGCGTTGACGCTTACACTGCAGCGCTCATCACGGCGTTGCGAAGGAGAGAAGACTGGGGAGGCGCTGAGCACGCAGTGATAGATCGATGTTTCCTACTGGAACGTGCCAATCGCTGCTAACGGGGAACGAGAGACGAAAGACTCCGATCGTACATAGATACCCGCAGTCCGCTTTCAGTTAACGCGCACGCTGCGAGTTTTTATTGTTCAAAAACACACAGCAGAAATCTCCCACCGGCAGTAACTTGGAAGTCAAGATCCAGCGTTTATATAGCGACGAAAACCTCAAGTTTGCGGGTCGACGGCAAAACTGCACTGCGGTTCTGGCGCCAAGCTCCCGGGAAATCGGGCCGCAGGCGATCCAGTGTTTCACCACAGCGGAAGCACGTGCGGCACTCGCCGTACACGTTCTGGAATCGGTGCGAGCCTGGCGCGCTGAAACGAGATACTTGCTGTTCGAAGTTAGCTTCCTGCGATGGCAGAAGCGACCCCACAGAAGCGTCGGCGAGCTCTAAAGTATTGTGTGCCACAACAGTGCAGTCCACGCGATCAAACAGCAAAACTGTCTGTTGCCGGACAAGTCGTACAAGAAAGAAAAAAAGAGAAGCGTGGATCACCGCCGTGAAAAAAATAATGATGAGTTAACTCTGCCTCGCCGTACGTTTTGATTATCTCAATTCATCGCTTGAAACTAATCATTTCAACTACCTAAACCAGTACGTAACGCGGCGCGCCTATGAAATGACTGCAGTAATCATTGCTCGCTGTCATCTCGCATCGTGAAAGTCCAGTTACGGTTGTATGTTGAAACAACTTTGCGTTCAGGTTCCTTGTGTTTGTGAGACGCATAGCTGTCGTTGTTGGATGTTAACACTCGCGTACGTCATAACCTGGTTAGCGTTGCGTTGTCGATTGGTTTCAATTGAACTCCGCATATCGTCAAAGGAGGACTGCGTGCGATTCACGCATCGGAAAGGCTGCATCGTCGCACCGGAACGAACGTGGCACGCGTATGCGCATTTTCAGCAAATCTTGACATCGCTTTGCTGGTGCGTTCCTGTTTTTGCCTCTTCATTAGGACGGTATCGAGCCGCTGAGTCTAACTGGCACTTATACACGAATCGTCGCATTCGGAGATGTGTGGTTTTCTTTCACGCGCGCTTCGTGTCTGCGTGCCACGCTTCGCAGAGTGCTTCGAGCGTGCGTTTACGTGCGCGCTAATGGCCCGAGCACTTCGCACACCCGATAGAAATTCGGCACCCTCTCACGATGAGCCGCGTTTGAGCAGCAGGCTTTGTACACTTGTGCAATCGATATTCTCATAAAATTGGAGGGCAAGCACGACGTGGTAATTGAAAAAAAAAAGAACAAGAAAAAAATGAGGCGCGCAGTTTAACTTGTGTCGCAGCGCTTATGCTAAGCTAACTGCATGGCAGATTAATCAGCCAGTGATGCTCCAGGGGGAAGGAGGACATGACTAACCTTATCAGTCTTTTTAGTGCTATGGCTGTGGCATCTTTGTTTCTTTCACGCTACAAAATTTCGTTCCCGAGAATACGCGTCTACAACTGCCAGCATGCACATCAAAACAACGATCAAATGTTCTTCGTTGCCGGCAACGTGGAACATCCATCGCGTGCCTGGCTTCATTTCGCCCAGCGTATAGACGACTAGGCATATCTAACGTATGATAGAAGGAAGCTTACATCGACACGGCATTGCCGCGGACTTCGGAAATTTATTTCGACCATCGTTGTCAGCTCCACAATGTAAACGTGATTAACAAACTTTTCTGCTTTTAATACGTCTGCTTTTCGAAGTGCCTGTCCAGCTGGGAGATTCCAGCTTGGAGCGCGACAGTCCCGCACGTGCACGGAAGACGGCACAATGCGACGGAGAGAAGGGAAAAATGTGCGAAGTACATCCCCAGTTTTCACTTTTCTGCCAGAAATGACACTGCCTGTCCAGAAGTGTGGCAGCTTGGGCTAGTTCGTATGGCATGACTTTAGTTATAGCGCGAGAACAAAACGACGACACAGAGACGAGAAGGACGCGAAGCGCTCGTGTCTTTCTTGTCTCTGTGTCGTCGTTTTGTTCTCGCGCTATAACTATCGTCATTCCTTTCCAGAGTCGCAGTGCCACCAAGCCTTGCTTTGGGAGCATATATACGGGGTGGCCAGAATATATTAACTTCGTGGTGGCCAGTGAACGATTGTGCAGCGCTAGCAGACCATTTTTTATTAAAAACTTGTTGGCAGGCGTTGCCTGCTTCGGCGTTGCGAAGCGAGAAAAAGGGAGCGTAGGAGAGGAGAAAAAGGGAGGGGACGCGCATGCGTAGTGGCGCGGAGACGCCATCGCATCAAGTTGGCTAATAAGACGCTTCGCATCTAATAATGATCTTCGCCATCATCTTGTCTTCGGCGAATGCGTACCTGACCCTGCGATTTTTTTTTTGCTACAGTATACTAGTTTGATGCGCTGTGAAACGCTAACACGCCGTGAAAGAACTCGTCACCGTGCCTGTAGTAGTTTTGGTTGGTCCTAAATGCGTCCCCAGAACAAGATGAACTTCACCACAGCAAAGGCTGCGAGCAGTACGCCGCCGCTGACGACCGGCTGGACGACACCCTCGACCACGGTCTGCGCGTCCGGCTCGTCCGGAGGCACCACCACTCCGAGCCGTCGCAGGAGCTCTTTGGCCCACTTTTGGCAGTTGTTCCTCGTCAAGTGGTACTGGCCCGAGTCGCACATCTCGAGCATGGCCTCCTCGACGCGTGCCTTCGGAATAGTGTGCTTTCCCAGGCGTTTCTACGAAAAAAAGTCAAGAGTGCGGATATAGCGAACGCGGAATAAAGCGAAAACGAAGGACAATAGGTGAAAGCTGAAACGCTAGCGGCAATACCTTGTGTCAGCTCATTCATTCCAGAACAATAAAAAGTTGGACCGACGGGTGTCGCACTTGTAACGCGAGACGGCGAATGTCTGCCGTCCGAACTGATTTCAAAATAGTGGGCTGCAACGATCAATCATACTATATGTTTGGCATCACATGTGTTTTACATCGTCTCTTGTGCACACGTTGCTTATGTGCAACGGTATACCTACATCAGAACGATCGATGAGGAGAGTCGGTGTGCTTCATATATTGAACGTATAATAGCGCGACAAAAACGTCTTTCCTCCGTGCTCGTAACATGTTAGCGTACTATCATTTGTTCCAAGATGGTATACTAGCAAACCAACAGACCTAAGTAACAACCTTGAGGAAGTACATTAAATAGGTCACCTGAAGTCCTCAAGTATGAACTCTTGTCTGTATATAATAAACTTTTCATGTCTCTTTAAATGCCTCTAGCATCCCCGACTCGGGTTACCGCACTTTTGTACGCAATATGTAACCTGTTAACGTGACTCGTTGCCCCACAGGGCTATAACTGTTCAAGGCACAAAGACCAAAGTGCGTTTGTGTGTGCTTGTTTCAGAAGCTTGATTATTTGACACTTAACATTTCAGATCATGGAATAGTAGAATGGTTGCAAGAGTTCAGTGCAACGTGAAGTTCTGCCAGACAGAATTGTCTGTTGTAGGCTTCGCTTTCAGTATGTTTTCTATGGGCTACTGCTCTATTCTTTTCCATCGTCCTAATGGGTGGCGCTCAGAATTATCTCAACAAGCTTCTTCGCAACATACCGCATCTTTAGATTATGTCCTAATGTGAAAGAAAATTGATATGTTCTCAAAATGCACACTAAAGAAGTCAGCTTGTTTATCTTTGGTTGATGCAGCACCACGGGGCGATGACGAAAAATACGAATCAGTAGAACAGACGCATCAGCCAAAGGTGAACACTCGCCAACTATAGCTCAAGTTCCCATTCATATGAAGTTGGCTTGGTCTTCCAACCTGCTTTCCCGAGTATCCCCCCAAAGGTGAAAAGTGTGGTCATCGGCCGCGGGGGCTTTCAGTTTGCACGTATACTTCTTTAGGTAGCCGGGATGCCTGATGGAATGTGCACACGCATGTGTGCCTTCATGGAACGTAGAGTTGCTTTCACGGAACGTAAACTAATCGCCAGATACGTTTTGCGTTTCCACCATAGCTCACGAATCCATCTACGCTCGTGGCTACTCGTGATATGCACATTTCGCAGACTCCAGCCTCTGAGTCCCAATAAGCCGCAGTGCCAGCACCAATTACGACCATGCGTTGTTTGATCTGGATTACCAAAGCTCTGAAGACCGAGAATACCGAAGCCGTAAGCGCATTGGTCCTAAAACAGAGTTTCCTAAAATCGACTTTAGAGGGAACTCTGACTTGGCAGTCGTTCAGCGACCATGGGAATGATGGGTAGTACACGAATTCCTATAGTCTTCGTGCTTGCTGGCTTCAAACTCTCTGGTGGCTTTGTTTATTGTTGTGGAATTTCTTACTTCGAATAAAACAATGGTCAGTCATGAACTTAGTGACCAAACTTGAATAGGTGAGCGAAAAATCTTATGGTGATGATATGAAGCTGCTGAATATTTGCCGATTGTCGCGTCTGGTGAAAGCAGCTCCAACCTACACGAAGCCAAACAAAGCCAAAACTATTAAGATTAGACAAATTTGTGCACTACCCATCATTCCCATGCACCATGCTTTAATTGCAGCTCCCTTAGACATCGCCAGAGTTTCCTCTAGTGTATTCGCAGGAAATTCTATGGCTTAAAGCTTTTGAGAGGGCGGATAGGTGGTGGCCTCTGGCGGGGCCGAGTTGTACCAGGCAAGCACACAATTGCTCTTTAATGTGGTGCACTTTACTTCTGGTGTAAATGCCTTGCAAAGGCATAATTACGGATTCGTTGACTTTTCCTTCCGTTATTCCCTCAAAATACCTGAAAAATAATGTACCTGCGATTCTGGTTGTGTGCATTCGCCAAAAAAGACATGAGAATCCCACATGTGCAGCCAGACATCACCTGAGTCCTCCATAGTAAGCATGTCTTTTTTTTTTTTTCGTGCAACCTATACCTTCAAGCATTTCGAACACACTGGGCCAAGAACAAGCTTTATTAGAGTAAAGTAAATGTTTACGTACGCATGGAAATGTTTCACCAAGAAAAAAGTTTACACTCTTCTAAACGTAAGCGCTGACGTATGGAAAGCTAAACACTTTTCTAATACGTTCCTTTCGGTAACACGGTAAACATGTATAATCCGGTAACATGCATTAACAAACTATACTTACAAGCTAATAACTCTAATGTTTATATTGCAGATTTTTGCAGACGTGAAGCTCCAGATTCCGAACGATAAAAAGTCGATGCTTGATGCCAACTTGTGCACGCTCACCCGTTGAGCTTATCCGCACGTCCGTTCTCCCAATAAATTTTACATGTTTGAAACTGGTTAGATCCTCTGTTGTCAGAGTCGCCGAGCAACTTGGACGCTTTGTTTTGCTTTTTTGCATCCACATTTTGAAATTCATCATTCCCCGACGGCACACGTTGTTTTCAATCCAAGCTGCTGGCTTGAGGATGGATAGATGTGGCTGTACCCCCTAGATCGGGCGGCGGCTAACGCCACCTAGCCGTAATACTTAGTGAACTAACCATTACATTTATCTTTTTTTTCCCTTTAAATATTGAAGTTGAGGATTCGTACTTCGCAGTGAGGGGTTTAATTTTCACTCGTGCCTTGACTTTAGCCACCAATCAGATAACCTCCTTCTAGTTAAGTCTACCCGCTTAAAGTCTATTTTGCCCTCGCTGTCCCTAAATCCCAGTGCTTTGAAAAACTCTGCGCCATCATCCTGAACTATAGGGTGAAGCCCTTTACAGAACATTATCAAGTGTTCGGCAGTTTCTTCTTCCTCTCCACACGCACTGCATACTGTGTCGACCCCTTCGTATTTGGCCCGATATGTCTTGGTTCGCTGTACTCCCGTCCTGGCCTCAAACAGTAGAGAAATACCCCGAGTATTATCATAGATCCTTTCCTTGGCAATTTCCTGCTTAAAAGTTCGATAGATCTCTAGTGCGGGCTTCTTAATCATGCCCATTCTCCACATGTCAGTCTCCGTTTCCTTCACTTTTTTCTTAACCGATAGTCCTTTTGGTTTGGCCACCTGCTGTTTTCTAAGTATTTACCAGTCAACTTCCTGGTTCGCTTCCTCCGTTTTGTATCGACATTCTTCATGTACAAGTAGCTGAAAACCTTCCTAGCCCGACGCTCTTCCCCCATTTCTCTCAATCGCTTCTCAAATTTTATCTTGCTGCTAGCTTCCCTGCCCTCAAATGATGTCCATCCCATATCACCTTGTACTCCCTGATTTGGTGTATTCCCGTGAGCTCCTAAAGCAAGCCTACCTATTCCACGTTGCTTAATTTCTAATCTTGCTTGAACTTCTGATCTCATGCACAAGACCGCATTGCTGAACGTCAGCCCAGGAACCATGACCCCTTTCCATATTCCTATCACAACATCATACCTATTGTAATTCCACAGTGCCCTATTTTTCATGACTGCTGCATTCCTGTTACCTTTAGTCGTCACGTATATTTCGTGTTCCCTCAGATACTCGGTCCCATTGCTTATCCATACGCCCAGATATTTGTATTTATCTGTTATCTCTAGCGTGACCTCCTGTATTCTAAGCTCACTACCTTCGTTGTCATTGAAAATCATGACTGCTGATTTTTCCCTACTGAATCTAAAATCTAACCTATCTCCCTCATTACCGCAGATGTCCATCAATCTCTGCAAATCTTCATTGTTGTTGGCCATTAGCACTATATCATCTGCGTACATTAATGCTGGTAGTGCCTGATATAAGTTTTCCTTGTTTGACTAAAGAGAGGTTGAAGCCCAGTCCACTTCCCTCTAATTTTGCCTCTAATCCTCGTAGGTACATCATGAATAATAAGGGTGACAGGGGGCACCCCTGCCTAAGCCCCCGTTTTACCTCTGCAGGCTTGGATACCTGTTTTTCCCACTTTATAACTACCTTGTTACCTTTATAGACACCCTTTAAAAGATTAGTGACTACATGTTCCACGCCTAGTGTGTCCAGTATTCCCCACAATTCCTCTTGAACCACGCTATCGTACGCTCCCTTGATATCCAAAAATGCTAGCCACAGGGGCCTGTGTTCTTTTTCTGCTATTTCGATGCACTGCGTCAGTAAGAACAGATTGTCTTGCAACCTCCTGTGTTTCCGAAACCCATTCTGCAGTTCCCCCAGCACCCCCTCATCCTCTATCCACGCCTGCAGTCTTTCCTTTATAATCTGCATCGCCAGCCTGTAGACCACTGATGTCACTGTTATAGGACGGTAGTTGTTTATGTCAGCTTTGTCCCCCTTTCCTTTATAGATCATGCTCATCCTGCTAAGTTTTCATCCATAGGGAACTTCACCATCAATTATTACTGTACTCACTGCCTCTCTCAAAGCCTGCTTAGACTTCGGACCTAATGTTTTTATCAGCCTAATTGGAATGCCATCTGGGCCTGTTGATGTACTACTAGGAACCCTTTTCTCAGCCCTTTCCCACTCTTGTTGTGAAAATGGAGCCATTGCACCACTTGATTCGTCTTTGTCTATTGTGGTGCATAAAGTACTTCTTTGTTGAAATTTTTCTGTCACCCTTGTTCTTATATATTCAATAGCTTCGTCCCCTTCTAGCCTAGCACCTTGGGCTGTAGTTATAAAGTTCTGCTCTAGGCTCGTCTCATTTCCCAGGGAGCCTAGACGGCTCCAAAACCCCGCAGCTGCGCTTTAGGTAGACTTTTAAAAGCGCCAACTATCGGCAAAGCGTTAAGGTAATAAACGCTCAGACCCCAAGAGATACCAGTAAAGTTTCGGAACTGCTCCCGATCGGCTATACCTTCACCTGGGTTGGCAATTCGGTTTCTTGTGGTGTGATTTACGTGCAATACTAGCGATGTTTCAGCGCATAAGCGTCACGTTCTGCTATAGCCGCTACGCCACTTTCCTTTTCTCTCCGAATAAAGCGTCGCTCTGAGAAACGGCAAAGGGAAATTCCGTTTTATAAATTCGAACAGATGTTCCACTGTTAGCAAACCGTGTCTCTGCGACCACTCCACATGACTTCCCGATCTGCTGAGCAAGAAGACGGCCAGTCGGCAGGATTGCTCTGCGCAGGAAGGTCATCGCGAAATCGAAATTGCCGCAAATTCGAATACGCGCACGATGACCCCCTTCCCCGTAGTGTCCCCGCCTGTAAACTGTGCTTAAAAAGTAACAGCACTCGTTTCACAATGAAATACTGCTTCTGTCAGATAGTACACACAGTTCTCTGCAAGTTTTGATATGACTGCTTGGTCCATTAGCTCCGTGCACGTCTATTTACCGCATAATGTGCGCACACACTTCGACTGAAATTTGCATTCCACATGCGTGAATACGGTACTTTGTGCCGCTTTGACCCTCCTGTCCTTAACGATATACAACATTAACTTCGCAACAAAAAGTGCAACAGAGCACTAAGTCAGGCACAATTGAATAGGCGGACGATGAAATCGCTAGAGTAACGCGCACCACATGCAATTGGAAGACCAAACACGAACTTCCTTTGTGAACATGCAGCGTAACCTTAGCAGCGAAAAAGTGACTGACAGATGCACGGCGCAGTCGCGGGTTGTATTTCCAGCCATGGCATCCAAACTAGAATGGCTGATGTTACGAGAAGAGTCGAAAGAGAGTGCGACCACCACGTGCGATGATAGTCCAAGCTAGCCGCAAGCCTCATCTACGATGCCTCCCCCTCATCTGTGAACTCCGGACGAGGGGCGTATAATGTTACGTCTGGCTTTTTCGACCACGGGGATTCCCCGGCCGCCTCTCAACGCTTATCATTCAAGCTCCATGAAGCGTGCCCCATCGTTTCTTGAACAAGACAAGAATACAGGTGCATATTAAAAAAAAAAACTTTCAATGCTTTGGGCTTTGAAGGGAAACACCGTATGGCAAAAACACGCCTTTTCGCACCGAATTTTGTAGGAACACAGAAAGCACGCTGAATAAACCTAAACCTTTCAAGTGCTACCGCAACTCTTAAACACTGCCTTTTTCGCTCCATAATTCGGATGCTAACGTATGTCGTTGCACGGATGACAACAACCACATCTGTAACGTTCGTCAGTTGCCCTTAAAAATACTTTGCAGTAGGATTAAGTAGAAAAAACAGCGCTTCAAACAGACGAGGACAAGTGAAGACAACACAGAGCCTGTGTTGTGTCTTCACATGTACGTTTTAAGTTGTGTCGTCTTGGCGATGAGACAAGAATGTGCAAATATCCTGCTTCTACGTTTTAGCATTCACATTTGTAGGGAACATTCGAGGTTCTGACAAGAAGTCGTACGTATACATTGGTTGGCAGTAACGTTTTTCAATTTCAAGTGCAACGAACTTGATTCACGCCACTGCTGAATTTCGGTATTTGCCTCGTTGGCTGACGAGACACAAACAGCAGTGAGATAAGAAGTGATAAAAAGAAGAGTTTTATATAGAGTATGCAAAGCTTTGCATTTGCGTCGTCAGCTTGCCTCTTGCTGGCTCGCGTCACGCAACACTTGCAAGCTTTGCGCACGGTGTTCTGAAGCTCTCTGATATTCAGTATTCCAAAGCTCTCCGATATTACGGTCTTGCGATGCTCACCTTGTACGAGTACGACCCATTGAAGACCGCCGTCCGCTTCTTCCAATACTTGCGCCCCGTCAGTGCCCCCGAGTGGTCCATGTCCGCATCGCAGACGAGCACCACGTCTTCGCCGTAGTCGAAGACCACCAGCCAGTGCTTCTCCCACGAATCGCCGCATACCCGCTGCGATGCTGAAGCGAACGACGACAGCAGGCTCACGCCAGCGGAATTCGCGTTTTGAATCGGTGCATGGCACAAGTAGACAACGCACTGCTGCGATTGCCTCGAAGTGCTCGACGTGGCATTTTCTCCCAGTGACTCGGGTTTCGCCATGTTTTCCGAAATACGGTGAGCTCTCCTCAGCTGTCCGCTACGGCCGGATAACCAGACGAGTACGAGCTACGGGAACTGCCCCAACGCAGGTTCACACGCGGATTGCGTGTCCGCACAGAATACCTACTACACTGTGGCGCCGCCAACCGAGCTGTGTCCGCCACCTGCCGCCGCAATGCTGTGGCGCTGCTTTCGCCAGCGATATGAGTTGTGTAAAAAATAAACAGAGCAAACCAAGAGCTGAAGATGGGTTTATTTCAAGTATTTGTTTTTTTAGAAAAAAAGAACAAGAACAATTGGTGGAGCATGGTTGTTTAGACGATGTGCATATCGCGACGGCAGAGTTATGTAGCATGCTGCCAGCTGTTGAGCGAGAAATTATCACAAGTGGTGTGAAGGACATGTGCTTTTCCGACCGCGAAATGTTTTTTTATGCAAATATGTTTGGGGAGACAACTGTATGGCGGGGAAGACATACTGCGCCGAGTCATCTGCCGTACGTATAGGGGCTGTGTGTTTTAAGAAATGCGTCAAACATAATAAAAATTACAGAAAAGCAATATCTGCGGGCTGCTTGTGGCGTTACCTTTTCAGTGGCAGAGGACACCTTAAGATGCGCACGAACATCAATCCCGGTAATGATTATGAAAGCCAAAGCAATTAAGTTTTAACCAGTGCAGATAAGCGGTCTAGTCTAATAGGCGAGTACAAGTCCTTCCTACGCATAGTAGATAGCCACCTCGAAATTTCTCAAAGATGGCCTCATGGTAATCACCGCGGAGTGATGAAATCTGGCTAATTTAGCAGGCGAAACCAAAACCAACGCACCAAACAGCGCATCTACCATTCACTGTGAAAACGCTTTGAAGGACCGCACAGTTTCTCGGCGCCGTTTTCAACCATCAATCTAGATACTTTGTTTTTTGGCAACGCTTTCATGCCTCACTGACGCTCGCTTATCATACACCCCCAAAGCGAGAGAAACAAGAGATGATAACGTGGTGCACATAATAAAAGGAAGACTAGAGGTTTCAGGCTTTTGAAGCTGTTAAACTAGCAGACATGCAATTTCCTTCTCAGGTAACTGGATGGCCCTGCTTGATAATGAGATGTGTTTGAGTGACCTCGACCATGGACTGCTTAGAATGCTTGCTGATGCAAGGCAGCAACTGGGCACTGCATTGCAAATCATGCCATTGTATTCCGAATTTCAATGCGGCCATCGTCCCCAGAAGCCCTTCGGACCAGCACACGCGTGAGATCATTGAAGCATTCACCATTATCAAGCAGAACTCTTCTTGCGTTTGTGCACAATTCACCTGGTTATTTGACAAGAAAATAGCCCCGCCGCTGTGGTATAGTCGCTAAGGTACTCGGCTGCTGACCCGCAGTTCGCGGGATCGAATCCCGGCTGCGACGGCTGCATTTCTGATGGAGGCGGAAATGTTAGGCCCATGTGCTCAGATTTTAAGGTACACGTAAAGAGCCCCAGTTAGTGCGAAATTTCTGGGACCCTCCACTACGGCGTCTGTCATAATCATATGGATTCGTGTATGTCGACACTGTTTTATTATCCTCAGTGATTACTTTCTCATTAGTAGCTATTTCTATTTGCCTTTATGAATAAACATTTTCCTGTAGTTGCTCATCTTGTCTCCTTCTCACTTTCACTGCTCTTCCAAAACTTAGCTTGATACGTTTGTGATCACTACTCAGACTTCTGGAGCCACCTTTATCTGTGGCGCAGCTATGATCACATTAGGGCGTCTACAAGAATTTCCAAACAGCGTTACAGTGAAAAGAAGCGCTAGTTCAATGAGAGCAACTAGAACCCATTCAATGGAGTGTAAAAAGTAATCCATGGACGTAGAACGCTGCAGTCGTCTGACCTCGCTTGCGGATCGGGCTGCCATTTTTCTTTGTTTTTCGCTCGTACCCCCCCCCCCCCCTCTATACAGTCCGCGAACTTCGAAGTATAGTTTCGAGCACATGCGGATGTCTTGCGGAGGCATCGCAATTTCAACTGCTCTGATATGGTCGGCGCCAATATACAGCAAAATAAAAACCGCATGTGAAAATAAAACACCCCAGAGTTGACTTTGCCTTTTCGTACTCCTTGACCCGACATTTCCAAACGAGCACAAAGCTATATAGAATCGCAAAAAAAAAAAACATTTTTTTCTTGCCACATAGAAGCTTCGCCAACAGCGCGGCAGCGTTTTCGACCGAAAGAAAGAGCGTCGCGGGGCGGAGAAAAGAGCAGGCCACGTGTACCTTTGAAAACACGCGCTTTCCGTGTGATTGGGACGGCTAAAGAAGAAAAAAAAAAAACGCCACGCGCTGCAGTTTCTGAGGCCATGCTTTACAACGTATAGTCACTCGAAAATGGCGACACCGGGTCGTTTGAGTTAAAGCCGCTGAATTGTTTAGCGAAGCGTAGAAAACATCCACTTATTTTTTCGTTCATAGTGTCGCATTGTCTGTGCAGCGTAATAAACACTCTGGTCTTTCGAATCACTACAAAAAGACACACTGCCTAAAACTTAGGCATTGATGTCGTGCCTTAAATATGCGTAATATTTGCTTTTTGGTTGACGATGCTCGTGAGTATAAACGCAGTCACCAGACCAAAGTGCTTGGGCGTTGATCGAGAGGTTAAACTTACGCCAGGTGGCTGGATAGTTGGACGGGAGGACCAAAAGACATACCGACCACAATATTGTGCGTTGGAGTATCCCAAAAAGAATATCATCTTCAAAACTGAATGGAACAAGTGGCTGTGGCAGTGATGTCTCGTTCCACGCGAGTGAGATGAACATGTAGTTGAGCGCAGTTTCGGTATGTGCTGTTATGTGCCATGTTTCTCTCTCTTCCCAGTATTTCTTCTCCCTCTTTCGATATTTATTTTCCCGTCTTACGGGTATGCGGTAGCGAACCGGCTTTTCTGGACTCGTTAGCCTCCCTGCCTTTTCGTCTCTACCAATTATTCTCTCTTGTCACGAAAGTGTTTTCTGCAGATCCGTGGGTCAGCACTGGAGTCCCTGTTCGTTAAGGCTTTAACAGCCAGGTCACGAGCATTTTGGACCCGACGAAAACTTACAGCGGGATCTCTCACCTACAGCTGGTACCACGGCACCAAACAGTACACCTACAACATGAATCTACTCGTGTGCAACTTTTAAGTTGGCGCTGCTTATATGCGGTGATATCTTCAGCTGGCCAAGTAAAGCTCGATATGTTAAGAATGTGCCAAATCTTGTTAGAGTCGGTCGTAGTGACACCGGTTCTAATTGTGAACACTGTGATGTGCCAGAAACACTTGAGCACATGTTTTGTGACTGCCCAGCATACGCACGTGAACGACAAACACTGATTTCTTCTATTGAACGCTATTGCAGTAGGTCTTTAACTGATGAGACCGTGTTGGGCCCATGGCCAGACACCAACAGTGCAACTGTGATCATAAGAGCGGTTACAACCTTTCTTGGAAGCAACTGGACTATATGCGTGGCTATAAAATTTTTCTCAGCTAGACAGATTTCTATATACTCACCTCTCTATCTAACCATCGTCATCCATTAGTCTTTCTTCTCCCCTTCCCCTCCCCCAGTGTAGAGTAGCAGGCTAGAGCAAGCTTTCGCTGAGGCTGACCTCTCTGCGTTTCTGTAAGTAAACCTGCCTTTCTCCCTCTCTCTCGTTAAAGTAGATGCTCCAGTGTAGAGTAGCAGGCTAGAGCAAGCTATCGCTCTGGCCGACCTCTCTGCTTTCTGTAAATAAACCTCTCTCTCTCCCTCTCTCTCTCTCTCTCTTTCTCTCTCTCGTTAGAGCAGATGCTCTGCGTAGTACCTGTAGACCGCTTGACGTTACCTGGCGATGCGCCACGATTTCACAAAAAGCCGCTCACGGTGGTTGATTTCGAAGTTGACGATGTAGCAGCTGACAAACGCGATGCGGTCGGTGGTCGTTCACGTCGCTGCGCTCAGCGACAGGCAACCACAACGAAGAACATTTGGACAAAAATGTTTACCTGATCTATGTAGCCACCATAACTGATCTGTCAGCATTGGATTGGCGCACACATCGCTCTGCATGCAGAGTTCGACACACTGTAACAACACCACAACGCCGAAGGCATGTGCTTGAGAAAACAGGATGACACAGAAATCGTCATTTAGCTTGTGGCACCCCTCTCTTTGTTCGTTTTGTCATGGAAATATGGTACGGGGTGAAGTTGAATGCCACGGCTAAATAACTGTACGAGGAAGAGCGAACATCGAGAAAAAGAAAGAGCGGGTGTCGATAGCCGTTAAAAAGAGCTTAGTGTGTATTTCGTTAATCTGAAGAGTGTCCTTTGCGAAATATCGATACATGGTGGCCCTTCTTCCTTCTAAAAGGGAGCTGGTATAATCTCCCCACCTCCGCCTGACACGCACAGTCCACAGGCTGTTAAGGAAGTATTTAGGTCGTAAAAAGAAAACTGAATTGAATGAAACTTTTATTACATAACGCAAGGTCGCATGGAAAACGTGTTGGTAACCACCTGGATACGCAACGTCACGCAAAAGCAAACACAGGTAAAAAATACATGCCCAAGCCTGCACACAAAAGTACACGTATGTATCAGTTAAACAGCGTATTCGATTACTATTTGATACAAAAGGAATTGAAACATAAATTACAAATTTCTACTATTGCACGGCCGCTGGATCAAAGCGCTTTGATGCAGCGGCCGTGACTATTGCAGCACATCATGTTAGCATGTAAAGCATATAAAACGAGCACATTTAATACGGTGCACTGTAACAGCGTTTAAGCATCACAAGAGACACTTTGGTTAGATTGATTAAAGTGGGAGATGATCTCATGAAATGTCAACACTAAAAGACTGTCTGTTTCCGCACACAAATTTGAACAATGGCCTAAGAGAGCAAATTCACAGCCTCTTGTCTGGAAGGGTGCAGGCATAAAAACTGAACAATTAAAAGGATTACGGTTAGTTAGGCGATGGGGGGTAATACACACTTTTTTTAGTATTGTAGTTTATTAGCAGATGTAGGGAGTAATCCGACATCGAGAATAAAGAGCTTTAGTGCAGAGGCTGCAGAAATTTAAACTTGTTAGTCTGCGTGGGGAAGGGGATAACGGATTCAAAGAGAGATAATAACGACTTAAAATGGTGAAATCGTATAAAAATATATTGAGATAAGTTGACCCTGAGAGATTAGAAGCGTGAAAAAAATGAACAAACAGAAATAAAAACTAAGGCAAGCGCATTGCTGAGAAGACGAAAAAGGAGGAGGGGGCTTCGCGTCGGACGGGTAAAAGATGAAGGGGGGGGGGGGGTGTTTAACTGAGCCCTTGTCGGTCGAAAGTCGGACCACCTAAAGGTGACGTATGGAATGCAATTGGAATAGTCAGAGATTTTTGAAAGTAAGATTTGAGTGAGAGGTTTTTGTTGTACACAAGGAAGAAAGCCTGAAGCTTGTGTTGATGCCCGCGAAGATGCCATTTGTGGGACCTCCCAACCGTTTTTTTTTTCGTTTACGAGAGCACCTTGATGGCCACTAGCTGTGTACCCTAAGTACGACACCCAGAAGGAGCGAGACACCGATCCCCACTATACCACTGAGTGCGGCGAAGATGGAGGGTTTAGCGTGCTCATACACAGTCTGCGCATCGGGCATGTCCCTAGGCACGCTTATTTCCAGATGATCCAGCAGCTTCTGCGCCCACTTCTGGCAGTTGTTGTTCTTGAAGTGGTACTCGCCCATGTAGCGAATCTCCTTCACGACCTTTTCGACGTGCTCCTTCAGAAGTGTCTGCTGGCCCAGGTGCCTCTGCGAATGAAGAGCGACAAGGAACATCTCGCCTCTACATCACCGATACTCTCAGACAAGGAGTATAACTTCCTAAAGCAGTTGTATTGATGCACCCTTCTGTTCTTATCAGCACGACGTGCCACTGCATAAGCTTCTTTTATAACCCCGTCATTTTTCCTTGAAAGGTCCCTCCCCAACCTCTCAGTGGATAAGGTACTCGGCTGCTGACCCGCAGGTCACGGGATCGAATCCCGGCTGCGGCGGCTGCATTTCCGATGGAGGCGGAAATGTTGTAGGCCCGTGTGCTCAGATTTGGGTGCACGTTAAAGAGCCCCAGGTGGTCAAAATTTCCGGAGCCCTCAACTACGGCGTCTCTCATGATCATATGGTGGTTTCGCGACGTTAAACACCACATATCAATCAATCAATCGTCTGCAAAGCGATAACTACAACTGTCTAAAGCTTTTCCTATTTAAAAGCCTTGATTTTATGCTGGGTCGAGTGAAAGGGATATCAGTTCTGTAACGCGAGATAATTATGTGCCGATTAATGGGGGAAATGAAACTTCGTCGTAATAAGATTTCAGCATGCACGTGCATATAATGAGGGTTCTGATTTATTGCTGCTCTGTGAAACAAAGGAATTTTTAGGGGCGAAGCTCTTTATAGCGGCTCCTGTTCGTCCCTCGTAGCCGTTGTAGTGCGTAACAAGTATAACATTTTGACTTCCAAGGTGGTGCCGGTGAGAGATTTCTTCTGTGCGCTGTTTAGCAATAAAAAATAGTGCTCAATGTACATGCCGATGGCTACTAATGCGGAATGAGAGACAGAAGCATTCCGCTTTTAGTTAACGTGCACGCTGTGATCCCCATTAGCAGCCATTGGCATGTACATTGAGCACTATCTGACAAGAAAGGGTTGCTAAGTTGTACTCACTTGGTGTAACCTCTTTAGTTTTAGAAAGGTTTAGCGGGCGTTAAGCCGCAGTGCCATGAATACAGTGATCTAGTATATACCATGAACTCGAGGTGGTTAAAGGTGGGAAGTAGATACGAAGCGCAAGCCGTAAGAAAGTAAAAGCCTAATTCTCCTGCCTCTCATTTCCCATTATCAGCCATTGGCATGTACATTGAGCACTATCTGACAAAAAAAGGGTTGCTACGTTACACTCGCTGAGCGTAACCTCCTTGCTTTTAGGAAGGTTTAGCGAGCGTTGGGCCGCAGTGCCATGAATACAGTGAACTAGTATATACCATGAACTCGAGGTGGTTAAAGGTGGAAAGTAGATACGAAGTGCAAAGCCGAACTCTCCTGCCTCTCATTTCCCATTAGCAGCCATTGGCATGTAGATTGAGCACTATCTGACAAGAAAGGGTTGCTACGTTATACTCGCTGGGCGTAACCTCCTTGGTTTTAGAAAGGTTTAGCGAGCGTTAGGCCGCAGTGCCATCAATACGGTGAACTAGTATATAACATGAACTCGAGGTGATTAAAGATGGGAAGTAGACCGGAAGCGCAAACCTTAAGAAGGTAAAAGCCGAATTCTCCTGCCTCTCATTTCCCATTAGCAGCAACTGGTATGTACATTGAGCACTATCTGGCAAGAAAGGGTTGCGACGTTATGCTCACTGGACGTAACCTCCTTCGTTTTAGAAAGGTTTAGCGAGCTTTGGGCCGCAGTGCCATGAATACAGTGAACTAGTATATACCATGAACTCGAGGTGGTTAAAGGTGGGAAGTATACAGACCCGAAGCGCATGCCGTAAGAAAGTGTGCATGTGCCACCTCTCGTTTAGTCCTTGGAATGTCCGCTGGATGGCGGTGCTTCTATATGGGGAATATATGATGAAAAGATGCGAGATGGTGGTACTTGGAGTGTTGTATAGATAGAAGAACGGACACACAGACAGATGCAAGGATGGACGCATGAACGGACGCAGGGGTGGATGCATGTACGAACGCAGGGACGGACGCACGCCTAGACGCACGCACGGACGGTCACACAGACGGACGCATGGACGGACGGAGGCAAAAACGAATGGACGGACGAATGCTTCGCCCCACTCTCCATCATTCACTCCGTGGATATGCTGCTAATTTTTATTTGTTGGATACCCATAGTTACGTACCAAGTTTACGCTTACTACATGTCTTCGCCGAGCAATGTCTTTATGTGAAATAACCCGAAGGCTTAGAGAAGAACATACCGAAGCAGCACTAAATATTAGGTAAAGTCGTACGTGTTCAATATTGCGAAAAGAGCATGAAGGGAGACAAGAAGAATGCTCGGGTGTTTTCAGTCTCTCTGTCGTGACATTTCCATGAGAGCGAAAAGTGACGGAATGATTTGGCCAAACGGGGAGTTGATTGGAAGTACAGAGGAAGGGCGTAGCTACAAGCCACTTTAAGAGGGCCCACACACATTGTTGCGAAGCGCGCCTCCGACGACGTTACGAAGGGCTCTACGAAATCTCACCGCTGCAACCACTGTTGCGAAGCGCGCCTCCGACGACGTTACGAAGGGCTCTACGAAATCTCACCACTGCAACCACTGTTTCGAAAGACGGCGACGCCAACACGGTCCCGAAGGCGCCACTGCTTCGAACTCCGCAGGTAAGGTCACCAGCCGTTTGGTAGCGTAGGTTTCTCAGCTCGCGACTGCTTCTGCGCTGAGCTGATAGACGAGCGGACTAGACGACGGTGAGTTAAACAAAGTTTATGTACAGCATATATACAGAGGCGTTACAAATTCGGCACTGAGGCCAACAGAGACTCGAAGAGCCGAGCTCTCCTCTCTAACACATAGGTCTGCTCTCAAATGGGTCTGCTGTCAAAGGGGTCTGCTCTCGACGCGCCGCAGGGCTTCTTTTATATACCCCGGGTCCAACCCAAATGTCCATCCGGAAGCGCCGCTGGTCGCGAGGTCCGAATCCTCCAATGAGGCCGCCGCTGGGCCGCGTCCTTCTTTCTCATCGAATCATGGAGAGGCTGCGCTGCAGGTGGCTGCACCCAAGGACGAGTGACGTCGCCGCGCATTGCGTCAGCCGCCAGACAGGAAGACGCCGGTTGTTTACTCGACGGGCCTCGCGGCTGAGATGACTCACTGCACGTGCGCGCCAGAAAGGCGCCGTCGCTTGATGACGCCGTTGAGTTGTTGATCGCGTCAGGCGGGCTCGCGGGCTGGCCTTGACACAGATTGCCTTTTTCAGAGGCATGGACGTTCGCTGTGCACTCGCAGGCATAACAGCACCCCCGCCGCCAGACAATGCGCCGGAAAGACGAGCTACTTCCACGTGGCTCGGATGTCAGGCGCGCTCGTTCGCCAGGTCCCTCCAGGTTCGCCTCCAGGGCCATGGGGAGAATGCAGCTCCAGACTCTGTTCCGGGAACACATCCCATTCTTGAGGACGGATCCAAGCTCCACTGGCTTGTCGCCACAACTTGTCGACCAGTTTCGCTCGTCTCTTCTGACGATCCTTGGTTTCAGCACTTGTCGATGGTTCTGCAACTTGTCAAGAACGGTTCGACAACAGACAACACACGACACAAGCAAGTGCCCTCGGTCACCCGACAGAACACCAGACAAAGTATAGTACAACATATACCTAGGTACGTACGTGTCTATCGGAATTTCGTTCCCTCTACATCAAGAGGCACATGTGGGACACAAGACTTTAAAATAAGAACTCGAATTTTCACACGTACAACAACGCAACGAATTAGAATACCACATAAAGTTGGCCCCTTGAGATCAATCTGAACGAGAGGGCTCAGCCCGGGTCGTGATGAGGACAAAATTTTGCCCCGAATTGCCAGCGAGAAACCGAAAGGTTGAGAAGGTACTAACTAAACACACGGCTCAATGCGTCTGCATTAGCGTTTAGCTTTCCTTTCTTTGTAGCGAACGTCAAAGTTGCGCTGTCGGAGTATCACGCTCCATCTCAGTAACCGGTCACTTTTAGGCGACGATACCTATGCGGTACCAACAGCTGCTCATACTTGCGACGTTCCACAGGAGAACAACGATACGGCTTGCTAGGGATTGGCTCCTCACAAGTTAGCTCGGTATCGTGTTCGATCACCGTCGTGTTTCCGTGACAGTCCGAAAACACGTCTTCAAACACCAAAACAATCTTTCTCAGGTCCTCCTTCTGGGCTTCACTTAACCTAGGTTCTAGGTTCAACTGCTGTAAGGTTACCTCCGATCCCCTTTCGATTACATCACTAGAACTCAAAACTTCCGCTCCCTCTTCCTCTGAAGCACTTAAAAGTAAATTTACGACCGCTTGACGTTGAACGTATGGTTTCCTCAAGTTACTGTGATAAATTTTGTTCGGCCGCCTTCCTAATTTCACTTCATAATTCGTATCGGAAAGCTTCGATATTACTTTGGCGGGCCCTTCCCAATGAACCTCAAGCTTGTTCCTTTTGGCGGCTGCAGCAGCATTACCTGACTTCCTACTTCAAAAGCGCGCTTCTTTGCCGATTTGTCGTAGTACTCCGACAACATTTGTGAAGCTTTCGTGTGGGTTTCCACTAGCGCATTAATTGAGAGGTCCTCACGCTGCTCTCGAATGAGCGTTTCTCCATCAACCCCCGACAGCTCACTCCAACTTTCCGCTACAGGCGAGAGCGTTGCAACCCTCTCGCTCTGACTCAATGGCGCCATGTCGTCTCCCCCTACGCATACCGCGCCGGTCACTTCGGCGACGGGCCGCTCGAGTGACTGCTCAAACGACGCACATGGAGAATTTCGTGTTTGAGGTTCCGTCGACTAGCCACTAAGATCACACAGATATGCTGCTTTTGAACTTGTTTTACCACACAGAACAAGATCAAGCTCCCGCGAAAGCTTCTGCGCTTGCGATCGCGTGAGGGCCATGTACGCTAAGTTGGAGAAGAACGATTCACCCTGCTCTTTAAGAAGGTGCTCTGAGTTGTTAGAGAAAAGATAAGGAAAACGATCGAGAAGCGCGGCAGACACAGCCGCTTCGGTGCGAAGCTTACCGAACGGGCCTTC